ATTGGCTTAGAAATATTTATGAATGCTTGCATGTATCATTTTGGGCTTTTTAGTTTATTTTTCTTCATAATTTAGGATTTTTCAATAATTGTCAGTTTTTTTTTTCTTTGATATTATTTGATTGTGCGTTATCTCTTTTGATTTTCATAATTCCTTTTATTTTGTTTTGCCTATTTAAGACATGAAGAACTCTATTGTTATTTAGTTTTTTTTTTTTGTTAAACAAAATTTAGAAAAGATAAATAGCTTTTCTCACAATCCTTCTGTTCAATCTTTTTTTTTTTTAGCCAATGGGGTACTGCAGAGGTATTATTTGGTAATCGGAGTTTTGGTTGTCATATAAATTGGTTGTCATATAAATGGCTGAACAAAACAACGACGGGCGAGGTCGAGGTCAAGGTCGAGGCAACGGCGATAGAGGACGTGGTAACAACCCTAACAACAATAACGAGCAACCTCACATTGACGCGCAAGATACAACATTGGCGGAAAAATATATGCGAATTCAGGAGTTTGAACAACTGCTTGCCCTAACACAGTTGAACGAGTCAAATGAAGAAAGGGAGTCTAAAAGATCGTCTCATGAGGAAGAAAGGAGCGAAAACCCATTCTAGAATCAGGGGCAACAAGGACAAAGTCGACTTGCCAATGTAACATCCCGAGTATTGACGAGGGCGGAGAGTGATCGCCGGTGTAAAGAGGTACGAACAAGGAACGTCTCTTGACAGGCTTCCAGTGGGGGGTAACATGCATGAATGAATCGAATCGACACCCGAAAGAGAGGGATTCCAAAGACTATGCAGGTATGAGACTGCACAATTTGGGATAGCTTATAAGAATTAATTGGTACTACCTATACTAACAAGATGCATCTTCTTTTCGGTAGCCCGGAACGGAAGAACTCCATAGTTAAGCGTGCTTGACTTGGAGCAATTCTGGGATGGGCGACCTCCTGGGAAGTTTTCCCAGGAAGTGTGCGAGTGAGGAAAAAGCACACTGAAAAGTCTCGTGTTAGTATGTGGGGATATTCATTGATTCTTGAAGCGGCCGGGCGTTACTAGTGGTATCAGAGCAGGGCCTCTCTTCCAGTACGGTGTGGTTCGAGGACGAACCAAGCGGAAGCTGGTGGGCATGTAACATCCCGAGCACTGACGAGGGCGGGGAGTGATCGCCGGTGCAAAAAGGCACAAACAAGGAGCGACTCCTGACATGCTTCCATTGGGGGGTTACATGCATGAATGAATCGAGTCGACACTCGAAAGAGAGGGATTCCAAAGACTGTGCAGGTATGAGACTGCACAATTTGGGATAAGCTTATAAGAATTAATTGGTACTACCTATATTAACAATATGCATCTTCTTTTTGGTAGCCCGGAACGAAAGAACTCCATAGTTAAGCGTGCTTGACTTGGAGCAATTCTAGGATGGGTGACCTTCTCGGAAGTTTTTCCAGGAAGTGTGCGAGTGAGGAAAAAGCACACTGAAAAGTCTCGTGTTAGTATGTGGGGATAGTCATTGATTCTTGAAGCGGCCTGGCGTTACAGGCAATCAATCCTTTTATTCCCAATAATGGGATGAAGATTGAGATCTCGAAATTTGAGGCATCCACCCATCCAAATGAGTTTATCAAATGGTTACACATCGTCGAAAGGTTGCTTGACATCAAAGGCTTGACAAAAGACCAGAAAGGTCAAATTGGTTGCTATCAAACTGAGAAAACATGCCTCAATTTGGTGGTAACACATTAAGAAGTAATGAACCAGAGAAGGGAAGTTGAAGTTCAAGAGTTGGAATAAGATGAAGAAACTGTTGAAACAAAAATTCTTAAACCAAGGAAGACTGGTGCAAGGAAGACTCTTTCTAACCTTAAACCAACAAGCAAAGAAGGATCAACCAGTGGTAGATCAGAAAAGATAGTGTTGTTGTGCAAAGATGTTTCAAGTGTCAGGGGATTAGACATTTCGCTACGCATTGTCCAAATTAGCAGATTGTGATGCTTATTGAAGCTTCAATCTATGATGAGGTCCTTGTTTATTATGAATCCAAAGAAGAGCATAACAATGATTATCCACTTTATGATGAGATCCTTATCTATGATGAATCTAATTGTGGATGCTCCAGTTTATGACGATTTCTCTATCTATGACAAGTATGATAGGGAGCAAGACGATGATAATCCAGAGGTAGAAGAAATCCTTTATAGTGATTTGGTAGAAATTCAATTAATAGAAATTCTAATATTTGTGACAAAGCTGAAATTCTACCCAAAGATGTCATAGAGAATGATTCTTCATTCAAGAAGTCTTTAGTTTGCAAGCAAAATTATGAACTTGGGCAATGCACATAACAAACTCGTGCTCCATGGAGATAATGATTTAGCTTTTGGTAAAAGTTTAATTGGATACAATCAGGGGCTATGGGACTTAATGTCACCTCAAGTAGAATTTCCTATGACGGATCACAGATGAGATTACTGAACCAAATTACAGGCAATAGTCTTTTTGAGATAATCTATGGGTTTTATCTACTTACTCCTTTAGAACTCGCATCATTTCTAGTCCCTAAGCAGTTTAGTTCAAATGCAGATAAATATACCAAGCATATCAAAAATTGCATTCATAAGTTCTACCCTTAATAAGGGAATTTAGTGATATTGTACCAGAAAAGTTGTCACCTGAGATATCACCTGAAGAAGTTGATATCAATGAAGACGAAGTAGATTCGAGGGCGAATCTTTTCCTAGCAGGAAAGGATGATGCACCTAAGATTAGCTTAAAAATATCCATACATGCTTACATGTGTCATTGAGTTTTTAAGGTTTATTCTACAGTTTATTGTTTTTCAATAATTGTCAGATTTTTTTTTGTTATTTCGTTTATTCTATTTGATTGCGCATAATCCTTTTTTATTCTATTTGGGTTTTATTTTTATTTTATTTTGTCTATTTAAGGCGAGGTCCAACTATTGTTATTTGATTGTTTTTTGGTTAAATAAAATTTTAGAAAAGAGAAATAGTTTTTTCCACCGTCCTTTTGTTCAGTGTTTCTTTCTGTTACCAAATAATGGTAGCTTAGTTAACGCTATGGAACTGAGCAGCTAAGAGTGAGGGTATGTATTCGATCTTTTTCAGTATCATCTTTAGGAGGAGTTTAAAACCTTAATCCTGTGATCCACCCCAAGTTGAACTAATCGCGAAACGATGAACCAATTAGAATATCTCCAAAAAAAAAAAAAAATGTTTCTTTCTGTTTAGCCAATGAAGTAATGCTTCGTTATTAAGCTAAGCGTTGCAAGTTAATGGCCCCTACAACCTACTGATTTCTTTCTCAATTTCAAAGGTAAAAACATCTAAAATCCATGAAATTAAGTCAACAGATTTTCTCTACCACTACCTCACACACACACACACAAAAACAGATTTAACCAGGAAAACTCTGGTTGCAAACAGCTTCTGAAATATGTTTCCTACTTAGTTTCACTTGCTGCGATTTCTTCAACAAGTGCAGTGTGGAATTAGATAACTATGATATGATCATGAGCAACTTTGGAAACACTACATGCATAGAATTCTGAAACCATAAAAGCAGTTTGTCTTGTTATAAATATAGAGACTATTAGGAACCACAACTTTCCTTCTTTGGATATATATATATTTGGATGGTAGCACCAACGGACTCGTTAAATATCAGAATTAGCAACAAGTGGGAGTACAGGACTATCAAAGGTTGAAAATAGATAGTAAAGTGAAAATATATGTTTTGATCTTAATTTGTTGTGCTAAGTTGAAAAGGTGAACACGATATTATGATTGTAAAACAGGTTTGTCCTTTTCTATATGATTGCACCAATATATTATTCTGAGTAAATATTAGGATATACTTCTTAAAAGGGTGTTCATATATGCTGAAACCTCTGCATGATTCAAAAGTTTAACAAAATCGTTGATTAATTGCTCAAATTAACCTGAGAAATTGATAGTTTTGATTTATATATTCAAATTAGGAATAAGAATAATTGGTTGAAGAAAAACGACAGAGGAGAGGAGCAACCATGCTAGGGGAGTATCTGCTAAATAATACTTTGTATGTTTAAAATGATATCTATTAAGATCTTAGGACATCTGAGTTTGATTGATATGTGTATTAGTCAAAATTTGAACCATTGAATGCATGTTTGGAAGATGGGATGCACGTATAATCACCACTACACTACAATTCTGCGGTGCCGTGATTCATTGGCACTCCTTTTTCTTTTTTCTTTTTTTCTAAGTAACTTCATTAAATAATAAAATATAAAATCAAGACATTTTATCTTGCATAATCTTAGTCTAATTTTCATCTCTTATTTATTTAAATCCTTATTGTTTCGCAGTTCATTCTCCAAACTGGCAAACAGACAAAGCAACTAGCAATAAAACCAAAATCAAATGAAGTACCTAAATTATAAGTAAGCTTTTCCACCCATGTAAAGGATTTGGTTAAGATATGTCAGATTCTTTTTTCGATAAGATTATGAAGTGTATTTACATCTTTTAGATGTTATACTAATTTCTACTCAGTCATTCACTCAATCCTAGACACATAGTTTGTGGTTTTTTTCTCCACATCTTTGCACCAAAATTTCACTTTATTATGGCCTTGCGGCATTCTTATGGATACAAAAACTAGTTAGTTGAATTCATCAATACAATATTTCGAGGACTTTTCCTCATATTTGACAAAGAAAAAAAGGTGATGAAATGAAAGGAACTTAATACTATCTGCTCCGGCTATGAAACCTCCTATATACACTTGACATCCCTTTTCGTATGTTATTCTCAAGACTACCCCTTTGGGTGTCTCTTGGCCAAAAAGAAAGGAAGAGTTTGTCTCCCTTGATATTGTTTATACATTTGCAACATGGTCTAGGTTTTTATCATTTTCTCGAGAAAGTGGAAACCAACTTTGAGAGCTATGAAGCCATTCTTTCCATATTTAGAAAGTTTCTATAAAACCAGGGTTGGTTTGGATCTGTCTTTTGTTTTGAGTAATATCTATTTGAGATATAATGTGATAGGCAAGCCATTCTGGGGAAGAGCAAAAGGGCCATACTGAATCCCATTCTTTGCACCCACCACAGACCACCTGCACCAAAAATAATTGCAACAACACTTAGAAACATTCTAAACTCCTACTTTTGGAATATGTCTCCCCTCAAAAAAAAAAAAAATTGCAATGAGACTGTTACTAGTAATCAAGTTTGCCAACCTGTACTTTGTGGTCAGATGATGTAGGAGGACTAAAATCTCCAATTTGGCTAATTCATTCCCAGGACATGCATGGATCCCACTTCCAAATGGCATAAAGGTATTGGGTTTTGGAGCAGCCTAGCAAATAATGATTAACAGAATCTGTCAAAGTCTGGACTTGGGGATCACACATGAATAAGGACAAAACTATAGCAGGTGGTAATGCATAATAATTTCTCAATAATTACCTCAAATCTTGAGGGATCAAATCTTTCAGGCTCTTTGAAGTTATCTGGACTGTGGTGTATGTTCCTAAAGAGTGGCAGTACTTTCCACCCTTTCGGTATAAGGTACCCTAAAGAAAACAATTACCAACACAAAAAATGTGAGCCTAAAGATAAAAAGGAAACGAGATCTTGAGGGATGATAAAACAAGAAAAAAGCAAGGTATCATATCAGATTTGGCTATTGACCTTGATATTCAACATCCTCTACTGCTTCTCTAAAAGTAAAGGACAAAATTGAGGCAACTCTGAGAGTCTCTTGTATAACCCTTGAAGTGATTGGCATCTTTTTGGCATCTTCCCAATTCAGACCCTTCTCTTCACCACTTTCTTCCTTGTTCTTCAATATGCACTCTTGCTCCTCCTGCAAATTCACAATTAATATAAAAAAGTGTTAAAACACAAACTAGCTCACTATTTTTATGCCATTAAATTTAAAAAAATTAACTTGATATTGAGTAATGATTATATAGGATAAAGGGTAGGACCCCAGAAACTTACAGTCACAGCTTGAAGGACAGTGGGGTTTTCACCAAGGTACTTGACAATCCACGTAAGCACACTGGCCGTGGTGTCACGAGCTGCAAATATGACACCGATTACATTATCTGCTATCTGTTCGTCGGTGAGACCCGATTTCTCACCCATGAATGAACCAAGCAAGTCCTTGTAATCTTGCTTCTTCTGCCTCCTGCTTGAGATTATTTGGGCCAAGATCTGTGCAAGCTCTTTCCTTGCCTTCATAGCCTTGTGGAACAGTGTCCCAGGAAGATTAATCGGCATTGAATTGTACCCTTTCTCAAGTGTGTAGTAACACTTCTTCAAACGCTCTCTGTATAGAATTTCATCCTTTCCAAAAATTGATAGCAGAGCAACATTGAAGGTGAACTGCAATACACCAAAAATTTGGAGAAAAAAAAAACCATTATTTACTTTATAAAATCAATATATAAATTATTAATCAACACCCCTTTAATTCATTTTTGTTTAATTTTTATTATTGGTATCAATTTTAAGTCGTTTTTTTTAAAAGAAAATGAACAGAGAGAAACAGGGGAACACTCTGTTTTGCTCTGGTTTGTTAGGGGCTCACCGTCTTCATTTCAAGAAAAGTGGTGATCAAACGGCCTTCCCATGATTTGAGACAATCTTGAGCAATGGATTCAATGTCATACACGATGTTTTTTATGGCTTCAGGCATGAAGGTACGAAGGACAAGCCTTCTCAAGTTAGCATGATACTCTCCTTGGTGAAAGAAGATAGCTTGTTTTCCCAACATCCTCTCTTTGCTTGCTGGGAATGTTGGCTTGAATAGTTGAGCCTTGTTCAGCACAAACTTTGCAGCCTCAGGGCTTGAAATCATCACACAGGGACAACCCAGAATGTGGGACTTGAACATAGAGCCATACCTATATAAGAAAAATTCAAAGTCCAAGTGCATATGTAAGTAAGTGAATTTGTCCATGAACTAGTTGAAAATGTTATTGGAAAGTGAAAAAATTGACATGAACCTTTTTATTTTTGTGGCAAAGAAAACACTTGGGTCTTGAGAATACATTTGAAAGGTTTCTCCTACGTAAGGCCAACCCATGGAACCAGGTGGGAGTGGCAAGTCACGGCGTTTTGAGACAAAGAATATCCTGAATAGAACAATAAAAAGAAAAGAAGCAAACAAGCAAAACATGATGCTTAGTTCCATTTTTTGTTTTTGTTTTTTTGGGCTAGTGGGAGTGGCTTGTTATAGGTGAAGGATAATGAAGAAGTGGAAGAAGAAGGTGTGTGACAAAACAAGTGCAACATTTGAGGTATTTATAGGCTGTTTTGAGTTAAATGAGAGTGAAAGAATAGGAAACAAGGAAGAGAGTGGGAAGGAGGGAAAAAGAACTGAGGCTTTCAATTACAGCTCAATTTCCACACACGGAATCTCCCTCCAGCTCATTCAAGTTTTTGGTCTAATTTAATTCTCTCTCTCTCTGAGGGGAAGGGAGAGAGAGAGAGAGAGCACGTGTCACAAGAGTATATACAAGTATACAAATACGTATATGAGTTAAGAGTTTGGTTGACTATATATATATATGTATAATGGGATGGTGTATGTCTGTTGGGGAAGTGGGACTGAGACTGTTAAGAGAGGAAAGGGTACTTAATCTGATTGATTAATTAATTAATCATAGAGAGAATGGTTGTTAACACCCAAGCAACCTTTTAGCATGACAAAAAGCCTAAAGGGCACTTGAAAGAGAACCAACCTTTTTATGTTAGTTCTATTTTCCGTACTATGTGGATTCTGTTAATTTTTTTTAAAGTTTTAATGCAATTGTGTAGGACTGCGAATTCTTGATTCCTTGTCATCTTTTTTTTTTTTTTTTTGGTCCCTTAACTTTCTGCCTAACCACTCTTCCTTCAAGAAAGTAGAAGCAGCAACTCATTTTAGGACACAGAAACAGCAACATCCATTTCTGTATTATATATTTATCTTAGGTTCTGGTCAAAATAGACTGTTAGTGACAAATTTAAGAATTTACTGGGTATTGGAATTGATTTTTTTAGACATTTCAACAATGCATTGAGTAGGTTTGATGGTGTAAGTTGAGCCTTTACATTAATGAGTCTTCTACCCGCCTTAAACTAACTGATTCACCTATTCAGAATGTAAGCAGAAAAAAGTCCTTGACCCTAATTGTCCCCTAATCAAAAGTTTCTATTTTATCTTAGTAAATATAATTATTATTTATTATTATCATTATTTTTTATACTGTTATTATTATTGCTGACCCTGTTCCCATCTAACATGACCCTTTTTGGTACATAATTTCTATTGCATTAATGTAGGGTACTAAATGTTTCGGTGCTCATCCATTTCTTCGTTGATCATATTGTCGTCTATTTATTACCTCCATTTAGGGAAAGTCAATGGAGTGCAAGATCCAATCATAACTGGAAATTAAGTAGCTATATAAAATAGATTTTTTTTTATAGAAAAAAAAATAAATTTAGAAATTTAGCTACCAAACTTAAAATTTGAAATTTGTAAATTTATTTGTGTGGTCAATAACTTCTTGGGCTTTGCTAATAGAAATCATAATTATTCTTTCCTATTACATCTCTTGTGCTTGTTCTATTGAGTTAAATTATAACCAATTCATGGCCCAGTCTGCAAAAGAAAATAAAAATTTTATTTAGTCCGTAAGTTAACTGTAAATCAACATATATTCCAGTGAATAATTTTGACTTTGTTTTGCTGAATAATATGGGGAGTGATATGAAGGAGTCTTAGTTAGAAAATCAACAATAGATTTTTCAAAAATATTAAATACAAAGACTGTAATTGAACTTAGTTGCTATTTCAATTCCCTCCTCCCCATTTTTTTAAGAATAAAGTTACATGATATTATATAATCGTGCTATCTTGTCAACCGCATAGCGTTTCCCTACATGATTTTGAAAACCTATGTATTATTACAGATGGATTTTGACACGTTTGCATGCAGCACATGACACATGCATGTGGTGGAGTTGATCAACCATTACGTGTCTAGGTCAAATATATTCAATCCCAAAGCCAGAGTAATTAGGAAATCCAAAATTTGAAAGTGCTGGATTTTGATCAATAAATACATCATAATCTCAACACTAAAATAATTAATTGACGAAGCATGTTAACTGCTAGCTTAGCTTATTGAAACATTTGGAATTTTCAGCAAAGCAATTTGAATTTGCATCCATTGAATTCGGCAAGGTAATATATAATTGGAGAAAATTTCTTAAATGCATCCATTGATATAACTTGAACGTCACATGATGCTATATATATATAAACAAAAGTATGAGAAAAAGCTTCTTGAATTGATCTTATCATTCATCGTTTGACTTTGAATAAATTAGTATTATTGGAGTATCAGGGCAACTAATATATATATATATATATATATATATATATATATATATATATATATATATATATATATATATATATATATAGGGTTTTATTAATCTTATGTTGTAGGAGAGTAGTTTTCTCCTATCATAGAAACAATCATGGGTGGGATTAGGGGTGTAAATGGGCCAGGCTGGCCCAGCCCGGCCTACATTGAGCCCAGCCCAGGCCCGGCCTTTCAGAAAAGTAGAGTAGGCTTAGACTTATAAAAAAGTTTTTTTAATAAATAGGTCATAGGCCAATTTTGTCAAGCCCGGCCTACAGCCTTGTAGGCTGGCCTATTTAATTTATTAAAATAAAATAATAAAATAATATTTATTTTATGTGGCAAAGACACAAAGTACCAAATACCAATATCTCTTACTTTTTGTGCTATTTTATTTTATGAAAGGAAAACTTGTCTAATGTCTCTAAATTTTACATGCTGTTGCAGCTTAATACCATGGAGCAATAGGTACCTTGCTGGATTATGATGTTATTGATGAAGATCTTTCAATAATACTCTTCTTTCCCTTGTCTTAATGGTGGTTTAAAGATTTTTAGATGAATGACATTCTCTTGTAGACTTTATTTCAACATCCAGTAATTGTATTTTTCTTATTTTTCCCATTTCTTTGACTCTATTCCTCTATGATATACATTCTAGAGTTGGGGTATTATATTGACTCTTTCTTGTTTGTCATTTTTTTCTTATGAGAAGTACTAGTGTATGCATGAATGAAATTTTCTTTGCTCTATACAATTATTTTTTTTGCTTAGTATATATAGTGGAAGGCCTACAAGGCCTGTAGGTCATGTCAGACTTTCTTATTTTTGAAAATGGGTCGGGCTTGGCCTACAAATAAAGCCTTTAATAGGCCAGTAGGCCAGATATGCTGAATTTTTTTTGACGTAGGCTTGGGCCAGGATGGCCAAAGCCCAGCCCATTTACACCCCTAGGTGGGATCCACCCACTTATAAAAAATAAAAAAATAAAAATTAAACTACACGGAAATCTATGTGTGTAGAAAAGAGATATTATCTTATGTTGCAAAGAATAATATTTTTCGTATATATATATGGGCAAGATCATTTGATACCGGTATCGAATTTTAAAATTTGACACTAAATCTTATCTGTAGATTTCCGCTAATCAATTGTTATCATTTATAGAGAATTTATATTAATTAATAAGTTTGATTCCCAATGAATAATAGTCGTTGATTGACGAAAATCAATGGTTAGGATTTGGTGTCAAATTTCAAAATTTGACACCAAATTCTAACTGTTGATTTTTGTCAATGAAGGGTTATCATTTTTGTCAATCAAACTTATTAATTAAATATCCATGGTTAAATTCTAATGTCCTGGTGCCTTTAACCCTTTAATCTAATTAGAATTCTAATTTATTAGTAATTCCTTTCAGAATAAGCCTTAAGCGCGATGAATTTCAAAAGTTCGCAATTCCTGTAAGTCTATGTCTAGATCATGTAAGAATTGGTGTTTACACCTGTCAAGATCAAAATCTCAATATGCCTATTGTGAATCCTAATTTTCTTTATCCTTATATAATTGATCAAGTCATACAAAAAGGCATAAAATTAATTCCAAGGTAAAACACAAACAATCTGAGACAATTTACTAAAGAAACAATTTAAACCAAACAAGGATTCATGTTGGATCCATATCCTTAATTAACTACAAAAAAAAAAAAACTAACCTAGCATAGTGCAAGAAACATAAACAAGAGATGAAAGAAAACAAGAATACATAATAAAAACTTGGTGATTAATCTCCAAGATGAAACTCTGACTCTTTCTTCACGTTCCTCTCCAAGAATCGCCTTTTTTCTCTCTTTAAATCGTGCTCCTAGTCCCTCCAAAGTTGCTCTTGAAGCCCTCTTTCGCTCTGGTTTTAATAGAAAGGTTCATGAGCTTTTATTTTTTGATGTTGCTCGATGAATCGAGCATTTCAACGAGATAAATTGTCTAGCTCGAGTTGCTCGATGAATCGAGCAAACCATCGAGATAAATTTGTAAAAGTGGTTATTTTGATGTCTTCTTGCCGAATAGCTCGCTGGAGCTAGAAATTTGGCGAGATGCAATGTAAAATCAATCCTTTGGTTTCCTTTTAGCTTAAATCTTGACTTATTTTTGCCTCTATATATGGATAACTTTTGTCATAAAAAAAAAAATTCTTTATTTTTTCTATGGGAGTATTAATATAAAAAAGATTTATATCTCAAAAGTTTAATGACAAATAAAAAACTATTTAATAGTAAAAAAAAATGACTCGCGGCCAACATGCTCCAACCTGTCGCCAACCCGTTTTAACCTACAACTAAGTGGGGTTGGTTGAGATAAGTTAAAATGTATAACCTAACTCGTCCCATTTTGGTGAGTTGACCGGTTGACATCGGATTCAACCTATATTATTACCTCTATAACACACATAGTAATATATTATTTTCAACCGATTGAAAAAAGTTATATTATTTTATACAATAATGTGGAAGATATATTGCCAACGTATGCACGTACGTAAGGTGCTACCTAGTGAGATAGACTAAAATATCTACAGAAGAGTAATTGTGTAGTTAATTTTTTTTATTGAATATCGAGTATTTTTGGTAACACATTTTATCTTATATTCTATATTATTGAGTATAGTTTATTTGGGTTTTAGGGTGTGCATGACAACCTTTTCAGAATCAATTTTTGTTTTTAATTTCTGCTCTTGGGAACAGAAATTGATAGAAAATTCGTTTGGTAAAATCAATTTTT